CACAATATTAATATATTTCAAGAAATATAATAGAGATTAATCAAGATTGTTTATTTACTTTTATACATTGATGATATTCAATCTGAGTTAGTACTAAAATTATAACTAAGCTAAGAAAGAAGATTATTTTCTCTTATATTAATTCTTCTTACACACATCAGTGATCAGTTATTGAAAATAAATTATTATCTTTCTTAAATTATTATTATATTCTCTGAATTCACTTCTTTCACTTCTTTTACTTCTATTAAAGATTCATAAACTCTTCAAGAAATCACTGTGAATCACAAAGTCTATGTTATTTACAATTCAACACAGAATACTCTCTTTTAATTATGATAAATAATCACTTCATTCTTCATATCTGATTTCAGGTCATGAAATTTATGAAAAACTCAACACAAATATCAAGATGAACTATAGAATAATTATTAACAGATTTTATTGCAGATTACTGAAGAGTTATCTCTCTGCTATAATTACTGCAACTTCATTCAGAAACATTCATTATAAACTGATTATAACTCTGAAGAAATTTCTCAACATCTGAAGTCATCAGAATGCAGATAATAAAACAAAATAATCAGAAAATTACTAATGAGCTGGTAAGTTACTCTATCAGATAATAATTTTTGATAATACTAACTTTCTAATTTAAAGAAAATTATATGAAAATGATCATATATCAGTACTCTGATTTCACAACTCTCATCTGATAACTTCTGTGAATAATTACTTCACATGTGTATATCTCTGAATCTTTCTATTCAATTAATTGAAAACTCTGAATTTCAAACACTTCTTCAAATGCTTAATTTAAATCTTCATATTTCACATCAATTCTGTCTTCAGTTCAACTTTGAGATACACTATAAAGTTAATATATAACATCTAGAATCAGAGCTGAAGAATCATTAAAGAGTGTCTCTCACAGTGAATGCATGAACTAGTATAAATAATCTTGTATTTATAAGAGTTATATATTATTACATTGATAAGAACTGAACTTATCAAGAGACAATAATCAAATTTAAATCATTGATCAGTAGTCATACTGAGCATTATATAATAGAGATATTAATAACTGTGATTAAAAATGACTATTGAGATATTAGTTTCAGTCTTCTTACAATTATAACTGATAATGCTGTGAATAACTACACTATGATGAAGAGTTTGAAGTAAAAATTGACTTTGCATTTCTGAAATGATAAACAAGGTCATATTCTCTGCATTGCTCATATGGTTCAACTTGTGATATAAATACTGATAAAGAATCTTAACATTGAGATGAAGAATAATGAGATGACTGATTCTTGAGATGAGAATAAGATGAAAGTAATTACTCAAGTAACTTTTACATTCACTTTATAAAAGATAATGTTTTTTGACAACACTTTTTAATATTGCTTTTTAATAACACTTTTTAATAACATTACTGTTAATTTTGAATAGATTGACTAATAATTTAAATATCACAGATTCAAAACATTACTAATATAATTTGTATCTTCTCTAAATAATAATAACAATTTCATGATATTTAATAAATAAATAAATCAGTCACATCACTGAATATGATACAGAATATTAGAACACAGTGAAGTTTAATATATGAGATAACTGTTCAGACTCTTCAATTGTGTCAAATAATTGATTATTGAGTATAATACTCTGATCAGAAAAAGATTCAGATATTGAAACTTTCTGATATAAAGTAAACTTAGTTGAAATATATAATTGATTTACTGTTTCAGTTTTATAAGATAATAAAGACAGTCTCAATCACTTATACATCAATGCTGCAGTCAGTCTGATGAGTGTATAACAGTTTATTTACTCATCTTGAGAAGAGATTGAATTACTCAAAAAGAAATTCAGTCTGAGATGATACTATAGCATAGACTATTATTACTGTAAGAGATAAACTGGCATATTACTACAGCAAAACTGAACAATCTTTTACAGAGTACTATACTGTAGCAGCTCTACTAGATCTCTCTTATTAAGTTAATATCTACACTTCTCAAGATTGAACAGAGAAGAAATAAGACTTATATATTAAATTAGTCTGAGACTACTACAATACCAACTATCAGATATTTGAATAAGCAGATATTCAAGATATAAAGACAGTGAAATACAATTCTCTAGTAAGTAATGATCTTTGATAACACTTCATATTATATAGAACTATAATACTAACTTTGAAACAGGTCTTGCATACATTGATTGCAATCAAAAATCAGGTAAAACTATATACTTATAAAACTGAATTTGACTACTATCTTCAAGATGATCTGATAAATTTACACATCAAATAAATTCTAGAGTTATGAAAAATTATTGAGAGTATATATTCAACTGTTACACTGATGACATGTGATATTCTGATAATTTTATTGATAGAGATGAGAATGAAGTAAAAGTTCAACTCAAGTTGAGATATTTATCACTATCACTGAGAACAATTACAAGAAGAAATAATCAAGAAACTTATAATTATAAAACATGAAATTATCAGACAGTTTAATATCTCTGATCACAGTATATCAGAGAAGTGTAGTTTTTATAAGAAAGTGAAGAATAAACTTATACAAGAATGTATTTAGTTGTTTCATAAGTGTTATCAATAATCATTATCAAATTCTGATTATATAAGTAATTACTGAATGAATCAAATGAGACTGATTTTGATCTTCAGTCTCAGTCTCATTCTGATTTTGAAAGAATGATCATCTTTCACAGTTTATTCTGAGAAATTACTCTCATTTCACTGTTCTTGAATTAAATCTGGTCATTTTTCACACCATTTCTCTCAGAAATGATTCATTTTCAGATTTTTTTGAGACTTGATCCTGATGGGACTCACGCCAAGAAATGTATGAGACCAGATCAAACGGGACCAAATGTGAAATTCATGGTCCCGCCGGCCAGTCTAGTAGTATTCTTCTCAGTTTTCTCGGAATTTTGAGCAGATTTTGAGACAGCAGGTTTAGAGACAGTAGATTCAGCTACTTGAGTATATGTTTTCTTCTAATTTAAAGAAGAAGAAGAAGTAGAAAAAGAAGAAGAGTAAAATAAAGAGGCAGTGATTGTACTAGAAATTTTCAATGTTTTTTGAACTGTGTTTGAAATTTCAAGTTTGAACTTGATCATCTTCTGTGATTGTCTAGTCTGAGTATGAAGAATTAATAGAACTTCTTCATTCATCTCACTCAGACACTACTTTTCAAGAATCTTGTTTACTTTTTCAGGTTTCTGTATTTCAAGAACTTCTTATTTCTCTATTTCTTCTTTCTTTCTTCTCTTCAGAATTTCAATCTCAGAAATAGCATTTAAGAAAACCATCTTTTTCCACATCAACTGAGTGTATTTTTGAACTTATTATTCTCACTCAATGAAAAGTTGATCAGACTGTTTCAATTGAAATATTTATTAAACTCTTTTGAAAGTTGATTAGACTGTTTCAATTAAGAGATTTCTAAGTCTGTTTTCAATTGAAAAGTTGATCAGACTGTTTCAAGAGAAGAATAAAAAACTTTTGTATATAAAACACCTGATTTTTTTCACACTAGTTCAGTAACTAGAGTAGATTTTTAAAGAGAATCTAATAAACTGAGATTGATTTTTGAGATAAATTAATAAAATCTTTACAATCTCTTTCTTGAAATACAGTGAGAAAAAGTATGATATCAATTGATAATAAATCAGATAATATGACAGTTTTTAAGAGAAAAACTGACAAAAAATAAATCAATTTTTTGCAGAGAAATTGATTAAAACTATTCAATTTTATTCTAAATTATTCAATTCTTCTCACACAATAAGTGTGCAACTCAAATCAGTTAATAAAAAGTGTAAAAAAGAATTAAGTATTAATAAAAGCTCTTTAGTCACTGAAAAAGTAATTCTTACTTAAAAGAATATGAAATTATAATAGAAAATAACTCTGTTTTTAATTCTTTATAAGAATATTGTGTAAAACTCAGTGTAACGTGACAGAACTGAAGCAGTGAATAGTCAGCGGCATCATGTAGAAGTAGTTGTTTGAGAAGCTATATAAGTAAACTTAACTATCTTGCTTGAATAGCAAGCTCATAGACTACAGAGTTATTGTGAGAATATCACAGCTATAATACTTAGTATACTAAGAAGATTGTATAAGATATGCAGTAACTCTTATATATATTTCAGTAGAAGAAAAACAAATCACTGATCTCTTTGATAAGAAGTCAGTATCTAGCTATTCTATATAGATAATAAGTGAATACTCTTCTCTTATTTCATAAGTGAGAATAGCTGAAGTAATATCTCAGCAGTGTCTCACTATTAAGAAAGAGTAATCTGCTAATCTTATATAGAAGCAGGGTTTTTATATTTATCAATCAGATCTTTCTATAATATATCTGAATAATATTATAAAGTGATTGAAAACCAGTTCAGATAGAATGAAATCATCTGTATAAAAGTGATAAGCTGTGTGAAACTGTAGCAGAGTCTTGATATAGCTGAGAGTGTGATAATACTCTTCTCTTTAAGAGTATAGTTCTGATGCTCTTATAATTATTAGATTAGAAATTATCTTTGTTATATAGTAATAATTATCAACTGATTTGACAGCACATGTACTGTATATAATATAAAGAAATAGATGAGTTTTTCTGCTGACTATATAGATCTTTCTTTTCTCATCTTCATTCAAATTAAATATGTGATAAGTGGATTTCTTATATATTAATTTAAAATATGAAAAACATAGTTAATAAGTAACTTACAGATCTCTTATCATATTTCATTCTATATATAAAATTCTCTGTAAAAGTGATGTATTTTAGAGACAAAGCTAATAGTAGTGATAGAATTTTTTGAAAAGATTCTTCTCTCTCTATGAAACATTTTTCTTTCTCTCTCTTAATTATAACAGTGAGTGTATGAGAGTATTATTCTTGAAGAATAATAAAGAACTTATTCTGACATTTTCTAGTGAATAAATGTCTTCATAATGCAGCTGCAGTCTCTGTGACTGTTAAGAAAGCCAGATTGAAGATGAAGACAGCAGTGTCCATGAGCTGTGAAAGTATTACTCTTATTATCACATCTTCTTTCTCTTCTGCATCTCTTACAGCCGCAGCAGTAGTAGCTGCACCTTGCAGTGAGGTGTTGTTCCTTCTGCCGGCTAGTTCATCTGTGTTCAGTTTATTCTCTGTCTCTCTCACTACTGTTGCAACACTGTCCCCCCTTTCAATCAACATAATGACATATGATCTCATGTGATCATTCAGAGAGAACTCTGAGAAGAGCTTGATTTCAGAGACAGTGACTCTGAGAAGCTCAATCTGTAGTTTCTCTTCTGTGACATGTCTGAGCTCTGCTCAGAATGCTGCTGAGTTGAGTCTGCAGAGTTTTACAGTTTCTTTATCTTCTCTCTGTGAGAAGGCTCTGATGCAGTTTCTGACTAGCACTGTCACTTGTCTGCACTGCACTAAGCAGCTGAAGAAGAGAAGAATTTTATATATTCATCTCTTCTCTCACTTCTGTTATTTTCATTGCATCTTATTATTATTATTATTATTATTCTTCAATTATAGATGTATGAAGTCAGAGACTATGACATCTACCTGAGAACTTTTAGTTCTCAGAGTTTTTCCTATATCTATAAAGTTAACTATTATACATTTATCAATTTCAGATATACAAAATCAGAAAATTCCAGCTCAGAATATAAAAACTGTTTATAAATTACAGTATTTTAACATCTTCTGATACTTTGAAATCATTTGACAATCTCATGACAAAGGAAAAGAGAACACAGTCTTAAAGATAGACACATTAAATAGATAGATAGAAAGAAATTGAAAGAAAAAGATAAAGTAAAGAGAGCTATAGAACAAGATCTCTGCAGTTTACATCTTAAGCTATATACATATTTTAACACTCTATATAACTGATCACTGTCTCTGTTCTCTCAGGCCTGCTTCAGGAATTATCATTCTCTCTAAAGAGTCATCACTCAGCTAGCTTCTGTAACTAGCTTACTCATAAGTGAGATTCTCACTAAGAATAACATCAGAGCTACTCAATTCTAGTTAAGTCTCTAATCTTTCAGCTGTCAATCTCAGTATTTCAGCCTATCAATTGATCATCACAGTCTTGCTTACACTAATCACCTATTAAGAGTGCCTAGGTCTCATCTCATCTAGATTCTTGCTAGGCTCAGAGTGTTCTAATTGAATAGTTTTTAAATCTCATTTCTCAGAAGTGAGTGCCTAGAGTGAGAGGAATGAGACCTGGCCAGTTAAGCTTGACAATGATTTGCTATTCTGCAGGTATTCTAGACCTTAATCACTCTAGTACTGATCTAACTTGAAGTGCCTGAGAGGCTGTTAATTCTAAGATCAGTGAGAATTAGTGTCTGGGAACTTCTGAGATGAACATCTTAAGCTTGACAATGATTCACTATAGTACACCTGAGGGCCTCTGATACTGTTTTATAACTTAACAGTGAAAGCTGTGGTTAAGATGGCTCTCACAGGGTTCGAACCTGCCCCCTCTTGACATTCATTCCCTGGGGGGAAGGCCGCTAATTAGGGCTCCATGATAGCGTAGTTAACCACTACGCCACCGGGCCTTTTTCATTGCATCTGTAACAATAACTTCTATCTCTCTATAAGTATTATCTACTCTACAAGAAGACATCATATCAGCTCTGATAAGAAGCTCAGATACTCAAGCAGTACAGAGTAAGAGTCTCAGAGCTTTAAGTATTAGTAAATTTTATCAAGACTAAGAAGATCTCTCTTACTTATCTATAAAAGAAGATGAAAGTATGAATTTCTGAGATAAAAAAAACATCTCAGAATAACTGATCTTAAGAAGAGATCAGTCAGTATCACTGTTAAAAGCACTGCAGAGTTCAATCACTGATTAAAGAGAATCTCACTTCAGTTGAAACAGATAACTGAGATACTTTATAAGTTGATAAATTGATACTTTCAGTATCTCTTATACTCTTCTACAGCATGCTTCTCTGCAGTACTACAGTATTAACTTCTCAGTAGATAAAGATATCAGTGCTGAAGACTTCAATAATGAAGAATGAGTTTGATAAGAGTGTGATTATTAGTAAGTAGACTCTGAGATTTCTTCTTTTTACTTTTTCAGTGAGCTACAGTCTTATTAGAATAGCAGCAGTCTGTGAGTTAATAATATTAATCTTTTTTATTGATTTTAAATATCTCTTTTCTCTAATCACTTCAGGAATTTTACACTTGTGTAGTCTTATTAAACTTCTAAAAAACTCTTTGAGAGAAAATAGAAGAAGAGTACTACAGAGCTTATAAGATACTGACTCATTATTATAAGATTATCTCTAAAAACTCTTTGAGAAAAAATAAGAAGTCTTAAACAGTATTTCTTACTTAATATCTCTAATATATAACAGAGTAGTCTCTACTAGCTGTCTTATAACTTACAATCTCTTTCTCAGTATTTTTCAAATGCTTAAGCAGTTTCTATGAATTCTCTGATGATAGATAATCTTTCTATTTCATAAGATATTAAAGCTTACTGTAATATATTCACTTATTCAATATTTTCTTCACAAGATATTCAGTATCACTCTCAATCTTAATATCATTCAGTCAAGACAGCTTCATCTCAGAGTGTTACTTATAGAGCTTTAAATAGAAAATGTGAAAAATAGAATGAATTGATTTCAATTCTGTGAGTAATTTCAACTTATATATCTGTTTACTCATCACTCTTATTACTGAGAAAGATTCTAGTCACTACTCACTGAGCTTCTTATACAGTCTTATTATCTTGATATTCTTTGCTGAAAGTAGTACTTAATTCTCTATCAAGAACTTCATTAAAAGATGTTTTCAATTGTAGTATTTTATCTACTACTTCTAAGTGTAGTAGATGCTTTTCATCATCTTCTTATGAATTTTATTTAAAAGTTTCAATCTCACTTTTACTTCTGACACTGAGAGATACTCTGTTCTCTGTATTTATTTAATATTCTGACTGTTTATTCCTCTCTTTGAAATATCATCTATAATATCACTGAGTAACAAAGAATTATATTTATAATAAGTATAGAAAGAAGATATCTTTAAGATTGCATTCTTTGCATTATTATATATAAATTTAGCAGTTAGAAGATGTTTAAGTCAATCATTCTGATAATATGAATAGAACACTTGAAGATGCTATTCTAGTATCTGATTCTGGTATTCAGTTTGATTATCTATCTGCAGATGAAATGCAGTACTGAGAAGATATCTTATTATAAGATGATAGTAAAAAGCTGATCAGTATTTGCTGATGAAGAGAGATTCTCAATCTGTTATCAATAATTTCAGAGCACTGTGATTATAAATAATGATATCTAAAAACAGATCAGTTAATTCAGAGGCTTTAATCTTTTTATAAGTAGAAATATATCTGATTATCTTCATGAAGTAGTTAACAATGATCAAAATTGAGTTATATTCTTTAACTCTTATTAACTTCAGCAGATCAACTATGAAATTCATTGATAGATTCTGTCATAAGCTCTTTAAAACAGACAGTGATATCAACTCACTGTATTACTTATACTATGAAATCTTTATTCTTTGACAGATATTATAAGTCTTAATATACTCTTTGACATCTGCTCAGAGCTTGTCTTAAATATATTTATATTTTAGAAGCTTCTCAGTCTTCTCTAATCTGAAGTGTTCTGTATGAGAATCATCATGATAAATTCTTAATAACTTCTGATACACTGTTCTACTACAAGAGACAAAGACTGAATCATTTAGTAGTAGAAGTTCACATTCTTCTAGTTATCAGTGACTTGATTTCTTAGCAGTATCATCTTACTCAGAGCCTGTCTCTTTCAAGTTTAAACTGAATTCTTTCTTCTTCAACTTCTGAATTCAAGCTGCAGTAGAGATGTCTCTCTTCTATAACTTATTAATGAATTCTAAAAGTAGTTAAGTTGAAAGATTGTAGACTGTTTCATTCTTTACTAATTCAATAATTGTAAGATATGATATAAGAAGCTCATGATCTTCAGTGTCAGTTCTCTGCAGAGACTCAGGTTTTCTTTCATCTTCTATACTGAGTTATACAGCTGTCTTATCAGCACTGTTTCTGAGCTTCAGAGAATCTTAATTCTCTACAGTCAGCTTCTTCTACAGTGATAACAGAGATTCTTTTATAGAATTCTTCTTCATATTAATAATATTATAATCAGACTGTTTAGACAGTGTATTAGTGAGATTAAGCTGACCTGAACAGTATTGAATATAGAAATCATATTTCAAAAGCAGCTCTGCTCATCTGACTTAACATTCTATCAAGCTCTTTGTTGTTAAGAAATAACATAGATTTATATAATCAGTGAGAACTTACACTGAGTACTTACTACTCTGAAGATAATATTATCAGATCTTAAAGAATTTAATAATTATTAATATCTTCTAATTATAAGTATCATACCTTCTCTGTATGAGTAATAACTTCTTAAAGAAGAAGATCACTGATCTTCATTTACAGTGTCTTATAGACTCTGTGAAAAAGTCTTCTCTTATAGATAATTCATTATCTGTATTCTCAGAGATGATTATTCTCTGATTCTTTCAATATTGAAAGATCTTCAGTATCAACTGTGAAAAGATTTCATAGATTTCATTCTCAGATATATCAGTCTCACACTAACTGAGTAAGTCAGAGTTAAAGTGATTCAGTATTGTAACATCTGTAAAAGCTTATTTCAATTCTATAAATACCTGCACAGTGTCTTGAGTGAGAATAAACAGTTTCATTTTTCTGTCTTTTATACTTCTCTTTAATAGATCTGTAAGAGGGACAGTAATCTGTGAATATGTATAGATGAATTGTCTGTAGAAATTCATAAATTCTAGAAACATCTGCATCTCACAGTATATCTGTGATGCTGGCCAGTTCTCAATGATGAAGACTCAGCTTCTGTTCATTGAAATGCTGTTTATCTCAATAATATAATCTAAGAAATCAATCTTCTGTATGTAGAACAAGCATTTTTCAGTGTTTTTATAGAGTTGATACTATCTTAAGTAACTCAATACTTCTTAAACATGAGTATCATGTTCTTTCTCTGATTTTGAGAAGATTAGAATGTTGTTTAGATATACTATGCAGAAGACATTGACAAGGTCTCACAGTGTCTTATTTATATAGATCTGAAAGATGACTGAAGTATTACAAAGATTAAAAGATA